CATGATATATCTATTGATTGCGCAATAAATGTTTATGATTTGCAATATGAGGATTTTTTAGATTTAGAATCCAATTTAGATGAAATTATGAACTATTGAATCAAGATATTATTCCAAAGAAAATACTCATAAGCAACTAACCTTTTCTTTAAAAAAATGTAACCAGTTAGTTTTCTTTATAATAGTTTACATAGAAATACAATTACTCCTATATTGTTAAATACAGTTGTTTAGAACAGTAACCACAACTATTTCTTTGCAATTCAATATTTAAAACATATTTCTATCTAAACAATGAATTCCAGTTAGTTTGATTTACCTTTTCCAATGTAATTATTATTTTAATCAGTTACTGATTATTCTTTGTGCATGACTTTATAAGCGATTGTTGGTTTTAAATTTAATCAATGTAATAGAAAGCTTTTCCTTATAGAACGTATTTAATATTTGAAATGTGATGTAGGATTGTTTATCAGAAAAAGGGAGAAATGTTTTGACTAGATTTATATTTAATTTCATAAAGTGCTTATGCTCTCATAAAAAACGGGGCAATAATCTGTACCTTGAACTAAATTATGATGCAAATTTGAACTCACGTTCCACACGATCTGAAATTTCAACCTGAACTTAAAATATTTTTCACGTTCTTTAAATGATGATATTTTAAAAGCAAAAACACTAAAATAAAGCTATAAGAAATCATGAAATAATTTTAAAAAATTTAAATATTTAAACTGATAATCACTGAAAAACTTCAATAACTGAATAACTAAAATCAGGTCAAATATCTGCACCTTGGACTAAATTATGATGCAAATTTGTTTGCACGCTCCACTCACTTTGAAATTCTGAACAGAATAAGTTACATTTAAATAAATTTTACTTAAAATATTTTTCAATTTCTTTAAATTATGATATTTGAAAAACGCAAACATTAAAATAATGCTATTAAACTCATGAAAAAAATTAAATATTTATGCGGAGAATAACTGAAATACTGAAATCGGCCCAATAATCTATACCTTGAGCTAAATTATGATGCAAATTTTTGCATGTGTTCAACACACTCTGAAATTTTGGACAGAATAGCAGAGATGAAAACTTGCTTCGCTTTGTAAAATAGCATTTTCTAGTGGTATCGAAATTTGAGTTACTTTTACTTTAGTATTTTGTATAAAAAGTAATTTTTCCACCACTACATATCAAAAATTTAAAGTATCATATGAAATACAACTTTATAGCATTTATCTAGTGGTTACTTCTTTAAAGAGCAGATGTAATTATCCCTATTCTACAAGTTTTACAATTTAAATCGCTACCAATTTATTAAAACTCTTGCTGAAAGCGGAGCAGTTTACATCCCTGGAATATGTTACATTTAGATAATGTTGCATGGAACCCTGGAATATGTTACATTGGAATATGTTGTATACATATGTTACAAACCACAGATGCACCCTGAGAAATACTAATTCTTGCGAGTAGATTTGTTTCATAAAAAGAAGGTTTGAAACTTTGAAGATTAAAAATTTGTTTACGTTGTGAAAAACTTTAAAAATAAGATGTGAATCAATCTATTTACACTATCTAAGAAAAATCACTTGAATCAATTTTAAAACACAACCCATAACCATAATTTGACGGCAAATTTGCAAGTACCATTTTTAGGTACTAAGTTTAACCAAGTTCCAGTTCATTTTGAGCCATAATATCGTGTAACAAAAGCACCATAATAACTTTATTCCAAATTTAAACGATATTGAGGTTTAAATTATTTGAAATTTTCTAAAACAGCACACGGAGAAAAAAGATATGGTAAAATTTCCGTACTGTATGGTTATGATATTTCTGGTTAAAAAAATAAATAAATTTAAAAAAATATAATTCTGGTTAATAAAACTAAAATGCACAGTATATATAAGAAAAAATTTTGTTACATTTTTCAGTCATATGATTACGGTTTACCGGAAATTCTGGTTTTCAAAATTATACCTCTTATTACCACACACACATGTAGTAAAATTAAAAAACGGAAATGAAATGGAAATTTTTCTGAAAAAATTGTTTTCACGCCATGCTCTAAGGTATTATTAAAACCCATTTTTTCACATTTACCAAATGTTATCACTTGTCATAAAACTATATTCCATTGTTAATTTTACCAAAATCATCTCTAAAGTGCTTCGGTAAAAATTACCGAGCTTTTTAGTATTAGCAGAAACACGGTAAATGTTACCATATCATGGTAGTTACTAAGATACTTTTTTTCCTCAGCGCATAAAAACTTTAGTAGTGTCTTTATGATTCATTTACTTATAATTATGCTTACTATTATATTTAAAACTCATTTATTTATAAAAAATAAACGAATATTATTTATTTATAATTTTTTTAAATTATTTTTCTTATTTGAAACAAAACAAAAAGCATTATTAAATTTTTGAAAATCAAGCTACTCTTTTCCGTATTGGGGAAAAAAAGAAGAAGGAAAAAACAAAGAGGAAAGAAAAAAAACAATTTAGTTAAAAACAGTCGATGAATAAATATTGTATGAAAACGTGATTTTTTTCTCACAACTTTTAAGTTTCAAGAGTTGAAGTCAAGAGTCAACCTTGAAGTTTAAATGTGTTTCAAGATTTATGACTTTGCACATATTCTCATGGAAATGATGTTCATGGTCTAATTAATAAATTTTCTTTTAGGAATAGAAAAACAATACTACGGTTTATTACTATCGATAAATTTTTAAAAATTCTGACAATACATATTAAGAAACAAGTAGTATATAAATTACAAATAAATAATTAATAGTGTAATAAATTTTTACATAAATACATTTATTTTTCCTTATTATTTCTGAGAGAAATTTAGTAATGAAAATTAAGTGTATTAATCTAAAAATTTAGCAAACAAACAAAAACCAGTCAATGGATATTTTGTGAAAACACAATTTACCTTATTTTGATGCTATTTTTGCCAAATATTAGGAATATTAAAAAATTTCAGAGACATTGCTTTAATGTATGAACTATTTTGCTGTAAATTAATAGCAAATTTTAATATTTATAAATTTTAGTATCAAAAATACCAGCGTTTAAAAGTGTAAAGTTTTTTTTAAAAAAGAATAACCTTATTCAAAGTGGTATATTTTAAGTTGTGTGCATTTTTTTCGACTTTTGTGCAATAAATACTTAAATAAGTTTTACTCAGTAACTTTAACTAAGCAAGCTTTACTTACTGAATAAGTTTTACTTACGCGTATGTATTATATGTATGATATAATTTACATAGATCCCTTAAATGATTAAGGTAACCTTAAGTATAAAAAGTTAGCAGTGTAGGCAATTAAGTATAAGAAGTGAACTTAACAGTAATATTGTTTATAATAGTGATTTCCTTTAATTTATAACTTATTCTATGGTTTTAATAAATACTTATTTTATTCTACACATAGCATTATACTTATACATATTATACTATGAAACATTGCGTAGTTTTGAAATTTAGTTTTTATAAAAAATTTTAAAACATATGAAAAACGCATTTAAGTTAAATTTTTATTTAAATATAGAGATTTCATAATTGTTTGTATTACGCTAAATTTATATTATTATATATTTTTTTCCAACTTTTTGAAGAATAAAAAAATTTAAAGTATATGCATTTATTTTATTTATATGAGTTATTGTATATAAACAATAGTAAAATTAATTTACCTTTTCTTTAACATTTTATTTGGTTGGACGCGTTTTCTGTCGTTTAATAAAGATTGACAATCTATGGCATTTGTTTAGATTTTTTTTTTTTTTTTGCTTTAAAAATGATTTGTATTGTTTGCCCAAGTGGTTTGTTTTTATTTAAGCACTATTTTCATACTGTAAAGTAATCTTATTTGTTTTTATACTAATTTATGTAACAAGTCATCCATGGGAAATTTTTATAATCTACACATCATAAAAATTTTTTTATGAACTCTACTTCTTGCTTAAATATTATTTTGTGAAACATAAAAGCACATTAGAATATTGATTTGCTTGTTATAGTGCACTTTAGCTGTTTCTTTAACTATCATTTAAAGAGCAAAAAATCATGTTTTAAATCATAGTCACAGATTATATAAGATTTACATAATATTTATAATGCTTATTTTATTAAAGTTTCCTTGCTCAAAAGAATAATTTATATGTTATTTAATGATATCTATATATTATATGCTATACTTTCATTATTCTAGTATGTGGCCTAAAAAATTTTATCTCTTTATATATGGTTTTCCTGATTTGTATAAAATTTGCATGCTATGAAAGTCGCAAATGTTTTTAAGAAATTGCTTTAATTAAAAATTAAAAATCATAATAATCATTTGCATAATTTTTTATATGAATTTTGTAAACTATAAAATTCATTTCTTTCTTTCTTAATTGTTTGCTTTAATGAACAATTCAAAATCATTCACTTCAATTTTTCTGTGTTTTTTATATGAAGTTAGCAAACTATGAAATGTAATTATTTGATACTTGTTTATTGTATTAATAAAAGGTTTAAAATCACTAAAATTCATTACATGAACATTTTGAGTTAGTTTTTCAGATGAAGTTAGCAAACTATTAAATTTAATCACTTGATATTTCTTGATTGTTTTAACAAAATGTTTAAAATCACTAAATTCATCACTTTTTGTGTTAGTTTTTTAAGTGAAGTTTGCATGCGATGAAATTTCATTACTATTTGATATTTATTTATTGATTTAACAAAAGAATTAAAATCACTAAATTCATACATGAACTTTTCGGGTTAATTTTTTTTACACGAAGTTTGCACACTATGAAATTTAGTTATTTGCTTATTTAATTTATTTAACAAAAGGTTTAAAATCACTAAATTCGTTACATGAGGTTTTCTTGCTAGTTTTTATATGAAGTTTGAGTGCTATGAAATTAACTTGTTTACTTTTTTAGAGACTACTTTTGAAAAAACTCAAAATCATAATTGTAACTTACATGAACTTTTGTGATGCGAAGAAGATTTCAGTCTTGAGTAGCCGACAGAAATGTCTGGTTGACCAACCAATAAATCACACATGTCGATCAAAGGTCATATTGTGAATAAGTACTAATTTCCAATGCTTGCATTTGAAACTAATTACACAGAAAACACTTTTTATAAATGTGATGTCTAATGGTTGAATATTTATTAGTCCACAATCTAAGTGTCAAATAATTTTGTCCATTGAAGGTTTGAATAATCAATATTTACAGAGCATCACCTGTGCTTCCTCATCTTTTGATTCAAGAATAACACAACCTTAAAAGGATTCTTTTGTCGTTAGGTAAATTGTTGTCCTTTTTTTCTTCAAAGTTTGCCTGTCATATAAGAATGGGGAAAACCGAGAATAAATTAGTTTTTTGATGGTGATTAGGTCGCGTTTGTTGTGGCCCGAAGGACACAATTTGACAGCTTGTCAGCGTGACCGGTTGATGACGAAACTCCTTGACAAGCAATGTCCGGTTCAAAACTGTCAACTTTCCAAGAAACACGTGAGTTCTGCCGTCGAATTATTATTTTGTTTTTTTCTATAGACGATAATTGGTCAGGAAGAAAACATTTAAACTCTCTTGCCAAATGTCAAAAGTGGTCAGATTTTTTTTCCCTTGTCCTTCCCTAACTTCGAACTTTTTTTTTCTCCTTTCAAACGATACTCGTTCGACCACACTTTTCGAAGTTCGAACGCGGAGTGAGATTCGCATCTTGCACAACCATCGTTACGGACTTGCGGCAGCGTCCCCTGACGGGTAACCCTTGAAACAAAAGGGATCTTTGAGAAGCGTGATGGGATGGGGGGAGGGGTTGAAAAGATGATTTCAATCCCCCATTTCCCCTTCTTCAACTTACTCTCCCCCTATATTTATTCCACCTTCGTCTAACATCGCTCAATTCTTACCGCATAGTCGTTTGCTCTTTTAATCTTTCAATTTTTATTTCGTTTATTTTTTATTTTATTATTTTTTTTATATCTACTTTCATGTTTCATTTTCTGGTAGTTCTGGTAGTAAAGAAAAAAAGAAGAAAACGCGTACTAACGCACTTATATAAAAGCATCGAAAAATATGCAATTGTTTCAGTGCACATAGTTGGACAAGGAGGAATATGAAAAAATTTACGAACGGTAATCCATTTTGGCATTCTCATTTTAAACATTAAGAACATGTTGGAGGTGAAGTAGTGATAGAAAGATAATAATAATTATTATAATGATGATGATTATTGTTGCGAAAAGATTACAGCTCTGAGTTATACGGTTCACAACGAAAACTACAATTATTCGTTTAGGTTTTTTATTGCGATTTCTTTTATGAAAAGAAACACATTAGTTAAAGGATATGACAAGGGTTTTAAAATAGAAGTGCAAATAATACAATAAATTTTTTTTAATGATTAAAGTGAAAATACATAAATTAGTTTAAAGAAAATAATATAATAATGCATTGTTTTAATTATGATTTTTGAGTTAAATTTATAGCTGAAGTTACAAAACCAGTAATTTAGGCAGAAATAAAAACAGTACAAATCTCTCTACACGAATTATTAATTTATTAATTTTTTTTTCTTCAAAATTTCAAGCCTGTAAGAAGTTTTCCCTGAGGTCCTATAGCTCACAATATTTTTGGACGAATAAAAAAATATTTATAGTTCATAGAACAAGCATAAAATTTCATTTTTATGGTTCTAAAGTATTTTTTAGAACATTTATTCTTAACAAAAACGGGGGGGAAAATTTTGAAATTTAAATAAGTTTCAAACCTTAATTTTCATTAACAAATATGTATGGTTCGGATTTTCAACCCAATTTTGAAGTTATTATAATATTAGATTATTTTCGCGTGAAGTTCTAATTTGCATGTAGATTTCAAGGGTAGACTGTAAAAAATTCCGGATCAAATCACAAGCATACAGTATCGGCACTTTAGGCGCATCATCCATTTTGAAATCTATTTTACCGTAAAATATTATACCATAATTTTTACAGAAATGTTTATTTAATTAGAGTGATTCAGTGATTTTATGGTAATTATTGGTGTAAAAATAACAGTATATCAATTTTTTTTCCGTAACGTGTTTCGGTAAGATTGAATTTTACGGTTTACGGTAAAAAGTGCCGGCACACACTGGGTGCCAGTAATTTGAAGTTATTATTATATTAGACTATTTACGCGGGAGATTCTAGTTTACATATATATTTCGAGGACACACTGTAAAAATTTCAGGATCGAATTACAGTATAAAGTACCGGCACATTGGGTGCGTCATCCGTAAAATCCATTTCACCGTCAAATCCATTTTTACCGTAAAACATTATGCCGTAATTTTTACAGAAATGTTTGTTTAATTTGAGTGATTCAGTGATTTTACAGTAATTTTTGCTGCAAAAATTACAGCATATAAATTTTTTTTCAGCACCATGTTTCGGTAGGAATGGATCTTACTGTAAAAAGTACCGGTACCTTGAGTGCTAGTATTTTTTTCAGTAATTTGATCCAGGATTTTTTTACGGTGTACTTGAAAAAAAAAACAATTCGAAATTAAAAATTTCAAGCGTGAAAAAGCTATTTCTCAAATCTCTTACTTACCAAAATATTTTTAGACAAATTAAAAAATATTTAGAGTTCCTGGAGCGAGACTAAAATTCCATTATTTGAAGTCAAGTTCCATTATTTGAAGTTTTTTACATTTATTTTTAAAAAAAAAACTTACATTTCAAATTTTTTGAATTATAAACGTTAAAAAAAAATCTAATTTCAAAGTTTAAAAATGTAAAGTTTATAATGTAAAGGAACATTAAGAGAAAAAATGTCAAATTTAAATAAATTTCAAACAATTAACATGAAAATCTTAATTCTCTTAAACAAATCTGAATACTTTCAGGTAAATCCTTTGGTTGTTATTATTAAAATATTTTCACCCTGAGATTCTAGTTTACAATAGATTCCGAAAATATTCAAATGATATATTTCAGATACTTTTTTTTTTTCTTACTGTTACCTTTTTTTTTCTAAAGTAACAGTAAAATTTGTTTGTACGATTTGTTTTTGAGTAAAGTGGTAGATAATAGTTGAAATTTCCAACAAAGCTGAAGCTGAAATGCATTATCATTTTATTTATAGAACTGTGATAGTTTAATCATTTGTTTTATGAAATTTATTATGAAGAAACAAGAGAATCGTGTATTCAGTATAATGTATTAAATATATTTATATATCTACATTTTGATTTGAAATAACACATTTGCGTTAGTTTAAATATAAAGTGGTAGCAAATGGTAGAAAATTTCTAACTGGTCTACGCACAAATGGTGTACCATTTTTTTAAAAGTTATTTTTACATTGGGATAATTTTTTTGATCTAAAAAGTTACTTTTAAGAAATTAATTTTTATGAAATTTAAAATACATTTTTAAAAAGAACTCTACTGAAAATAGTTATTTTACTACAGCTGAGAAAAATTTTCCTGAAAAACCTGAAGGCTGGCAGCTAGGAAAAGCAGCACAATCGAATTCGTTAATGGAATAATGTGTGTGATACCTGTTGAAAATGATAATAAATTGGTCGTTACTTTTTATGTGCCACTCTTTCTATTAAAATAAAATTTTAACTATTTAGGTACGCTGTCATCAGTTAGATTTTAGAAGTTCATCTTATATGTCATCTTAGACATATGTAGGATAATATATATATCAGCAATAAATGTGGGAATTTTTAAATGCAATGGAAACTAATTTATCTGTCATACGAATTTATATGTCATCGATTAGAGCTAAATTTTATCGCTTCAATGCTTGTTTTTATTTTCTTCTTTATTTATTTATTTATTTTTTCGGTATTTATCTTTTAATGAAGTTTCAAGGCGACTTTTCAAAAAAAAATTTTTTTTTAATTTTTAAGGGCTTTTTAGGTAAGAACTGGTAGCTAAAATTGGTTAATTCATTTTTGTCATTAAAGTGCAATTTCTTCCTTAAAAATATAAGAATTTTTCTCTTATGAATAAACATAATACCAATAAAGATGTTAACAGAAAACGAAAAAAGAAAAAGAAAATCAGTACCTAAATTTTGACATTAAAATAGAAAACTGTATAGTCTGAGAGTTCGAGAAGAACTATTATTAAATAAAAGTCGAAACATATAATCATGTTAGATCAATAACAAACAACTATATCGGTAATAACACCTATTTTTGATAAAAGGGGGAAAGTCGTTGTTTCTTTAATCATACATTTTTTGCTTCTCCGAAACAATTTCGGAATTCAGTAATTTAAAATGAAAGGCCAATGTGTAAATAATTGCGCCAAATTGGCTTACAATACAGTCGCCGCGTGAGCATTTAGATATTGCCAAAAGGTAAAGAAAACTGTTTTGGTGAAGGACATTTAATTACTTAGGGCGCGGCGTTTTATCATCTATAAATTGTAGATTCGTGGTTGACACACCACTTGTATGAGTACGAAAAAAGTAAATTGTTCAACGAATTCGACGACATGAACGGAATAAATTAATTCAGTTTCAATTGAGGTTTTTCTTTGAAGTGGTAATCGTAGCAATCCACACTTTGCGTATCCGGGGTTAATTTTGTCATCTCTGTCAAGTTTGAGGAATGTAGGTGGTTGATGATGATCAATTTTTTTCAAAATCATCGTTACTCTTCTTTCTTTCTTCCTTTTTTTTAATTTTTATCTTGATCATATTATTACTATTAATTTTAGCTCAGTTTTTAATCATAAACACAAAGATAAAAGGATTTAACAGTGTTTTCCAAAAGGAAAAAGAAAAAGAAAGAAAGAAACAATTGAACCTTTTAATGCAGATATGACACCGGTGTTCCTTTTATATAATTTCTTCCTGATACTCTAATTACAAGCACAAATATATATTTTGGTACTTTTAATTATAAAATACAGTCTGACAGTTACTAAAAAAATCTGTTAGATTATTGGACTTATATTTGAACTAAATTATAAAATCCAAAAAAAAGTATTTTTAATTTTTTTTTCATTTATATTCAAAAATTTTTCGATAATTGTTTTTGAAAATTAAAGAAATTTCAATGGTGAATAAGTGTTTCTCGTAGATCTATATAACTTCAAATAAGTGCAAATTCTAAAAATTATAGTTTGGAAGATTTTACCTTTAACGCAGAAAAAGACACCGGCGTTTAATGCTGTAATTCATTTCCATAAATTATTAGAATACTAAATCTAATATTTTTCACTTATTGTATTCTAAATTAATGCAAAATAACGAAAAAAGTAAGATAAATATGTTTTATAAAAATTCTGTATCAAAGAGATGAGTGCTTTTTATTTCAGGTAAAGTTATCATTTTTAAGTTTGCATACTATCAAGCCTTAAAGATAGGCTAAATCTTAGAAAATACAAATAACAAACATATTTAAATATGATTAAACTTCTATAAAAACTGCCCATTTGGCGAGATTTTTCACCCAAATGAAAATGATCAAAATCAATGAATAGTTCGGTTTGCAAATAGAGAAGAAGTGAAGTGATTATGCCTAACCACGTGATTTAAACCAGATTAAAATGGATACCTGCAAGCGACGTCACGCGTGTGTGTCGGACGTGATTGGCTTATGAATTGACAAATAACGCGATTTACGTACGACGACGTCACTTGTAGGTATCCAATTATCAGTTTTTGCAAATTTTTATGAGCCTAGATAATTCAGTATTGTTTTATTTTATTTTCTAGCCATCGTTGAACAGCCGACCTAATTAGCATTTAGAATTAAGCATCG